TATGTGGCTTTTCTAGACTGGAATATTTGACTTAAAAGCATGCACTTAAGGTTCCCCCATGTCTTTTTGTAGCTCGACGTATGGATGTACCGTATTTTGTTTATCCATTCACCTACTGAAGGATATCTTGGTTGCTTACAGTTATGGATAAAGTGGCTATAAACCACATTTTTGTGCTATTTTGCATTCCCACCAGCAATGAATGAGAGTTCTATTACTCCACACCATTGTCAGCATTGGTGTTGCCTATCAGCTGTTCTAGGTGTGTAGCAGTATCTTGTTTTAATTTTCAATTCCCTCATGATATATGATCTTTTCATATGTTGATGATTTGCTATCTCTATAGCTTATTTGGTGAGGTGTCTATTCAGAGCTTTTGCTCATTTTGTAATTAAGTTGTTTTCTTATTGTTGAGTTTCAACAATTCTTTGCATATTTTAGATACAATTCTTTAATCAGATGTGTTTTATAAATATTTTTTTCTCAGTATGTGGCTTTCTTTTTCCTTGCAGAGAAGATGTGTTTAATTTTAATGAAATCCAACTTACCAATTTTCTCTTTTATGGATCGTGCTTTTGGCATTGGATCTAAAAACTCTGCCAAACCCAAGGCCAGCTAGATTTTCTCTTACGTTATCTTCTAGTAGTTGTACAGCTTTGTGTTTAACATTTAGGCCTATGTTTCATTTTGAGTTAATTTTTGTGAAAGGTGTAAGGTCTGTGTCTACATTTATGAGTCTGTCCAGTCGTTCCAGCATCATTTGTTGAAAAGACTGACCTTCTGCCTTTGAATTCCCTTTGCTCCTTTGTCAAAGATCAGTTTATTATGTTTGTATGGGTCTATTTCTGAGTTCTCTACTCTGTTCCATTTATTTATTTATTTATCCTCACACCAATATCACACTGTCTTGATCACTGTAGGTTTATAGTGAATCTTGAAGTTTGGTAGTGTTAGCCTTCAGACTTTGTTATTCTTCAGCCCTGGTTGGCTATTCTGGGTCTTCTGCCCTTCCATATAAACTTTAGGAACAGCTGGTCAACATCCACAAAATAACGTGCTGGGATTTAGATCTGAACTGCATTTAATTTATAAAAGTTTAGAAGAATTGACATCTTGATAATACTAAGTATTCCTATCTATGAACATGGAATATCTCTCACTTTATTTAGCTCTTTATTTCATCAGTTTTATAGTTTTCCTCATATAAATCCTGTAAATATTTTGTTAGAATTATGCCTAAGTATTGATTTTTCTCTTCCTCTTTTCTTTTTGGTGCGAATGTAAATGCTGTTGTCTTTTAAATTTCAACTGCAATTGTTCATAGCTGGAATATAAGAAAGCAATTGACTTGTATATTAACCTTTGATCCTGCAACTGTGCTATATTGCTTATTCCAGTTATTTTATTTTTTTGATTCCTTGGGATTTTCTACATAGACAATCACATCATCTGCAAACAAAGAGTGTTATTTCTTCCTTTCCAAACTATATTTCTTTTTTGGTCTTAATTACATTAGGTAGGACTTCCAGTACAACGTTGAATAGAAGTCATGAAGGGGTACATACTTGTCTTCTTCTCAGTTTTACAGAGAAAGCTTTATTTTCTCACCATTAAGTATCATGTCAGTTGTAGATATTTTGTAGATATTCCATATGAACTTGAGGAAGTTCTCTTCTATTCCCAGTTTGCTGAGAGTTTTTATTATGAATGGGTATGAGATTTTGTTAAACGCTTTTTCTGATACACTGATATGATCATATGATTCTTCTTGTTTAGCCTACTGAAGTGATGAATTACATTAATCTATTTTCAATAGGCGAACTAGTGTGGAATAAGCCTCACTTGTTTGTATGATTTTAAAAAATATATTATTGGATTAGATTAGCTAAATATTATTGAGCATTTTTACATCTATGCTCATGAGAAATATTGATGTGTAGTTTTCCTTCCCAGTAATGTCTTAGTATGGCTTTGGTGTCAGGGTAATGTTGGCCTCAAGAGAATGAGTAAGGTAGTATTCCCTCTGCTTCTATCTGCTGGAAAAAGAGTGTAGAGAATTGGTGTAATTTCTTCTTTAAATGTTTGGTTGCATTAGTGAAACTATCTAGGCCTGTTTAGTTTCTGTTTTGAAAGGTTATTCATTATTGCTTCAGTTTCTTTACTATAGGCCTATTCAGATTATCTGTTTTTCCTTGTGTAAGTTTTGGTAGGTTGTGTCAAAGATTTGATCCATTTCATCTAAGTCATCAAATTTGTAAAGATAGATTTGTTCATAATAGTCCTTTATTACCCTTTTAATGTCCATGGGATGAGATCTGATGGTCCGTCCTTGTTTCATTTCATAAATCTATCTTATTTTCTTGGTTAACCGGACTAGAGGCTTATCAATTTATCACTTTTTTAAAGAAGCAGCTTTTGATTTTCATTATTTATTTCCTGTTTTCAATTTCATTGATTTCTGCTCTAATTTCATTACTTCTTTTTTTTTCTGCCTTAGATTTAATTTGCTCTTTTTCAAGTTTCCTTTCAAGCTATAAATTTTCCATTAAGCACTGCTTTTGCTGCATCCCACAAATTTTGATAAGTTGTATTTTCATTTATTAGGAAGTATTTTAAATTTTCTCTTGAAATCTCTTCTTTGACCCATGTGTTACTTAGAGGTGTGTTGTTTAATTTCTAGATATTTCTTGGTTTTTAAAAGTATCTTTTTGTTACTGATTTCTAGTTTAATTCCATTGTGGTCTGGGAGTGTACTTTGTATGATTTCTATTCTTTTGAATTTATTAAGGCATGTTTTATGGCACGGGATGTGGTCTATCTTGGTAAATGTTCCATGTGAACTTGAGAAGAACATGTAGCCCAAACTTCCCTTTGACAAATTCTACATATATAAAACTTTATATATGTAAAATTTGTACCTCAGATACAGATGTAGATATATCTGAGATATACATATCTCAGATACCTCTTGTGTACCACACCAAATCCTCTCAGCCTAACCATTTACTCCAGCCACTGCTGCAGTGACCAGTTCACACATGCTTTGACCAGCTTCACTGAAGTCAGCTTGAGAGACAACATCTCTCAATCATCTTTGGTGTGCAATGTATCATCTCTTGCTTTCTATCCAGGGCATTACCTGGAACTTGTTTGGGATTCATACATGTGCAGCCAATACCAGTGCAGACACTCCTGATGAATGGGACCAAAAGATAAATACTTCCTCTTTTTATCTATGTTGCAGATTGATTTGAGATGCATTTCATAGGCTCTTTGGAAGTTCGTGCTGGCTTGAGTACCACTGCCCTTAGTGCTGGCCATTCTTGTACTAGCTTTCCCTCTTTTTCTATTCTACTCCCTCTGTTCTTTACCCTAACTATGAGTTTATTCTTTTTCCCAAATAAGCTACCTAGCTGCACAGATGTGCTGGTCTTAGGCTCTATTTTCACGGGGAACTCAGGCAAAGATATTTTGAAAGAAAGATGGCCCATTCCATAGTCCATTAGTGGAGTGAAGATTTCTAGTGTATAGGGCTTACATTTAGCTTTAGAGACTATTGGTAGAACTAGCTCAACCTGACAGAGAAAAGTCAGGTTGTGATATGGCACAGGCTCACTAAATTCTAGAAATAAAGGTTGTAAGTGGTTGCTATTTTTTAAAAAAATCATTGTGCTTATTAAAACTTTTTAATTTCCAAAGGCACTTCAGTAGCTTTCACAAAAATATGCTTTTTACCTAGGTGAAGCATATGCTTCAATAGTACCATGGTAATATAATCAGAAAAAAAGACAAATTGAACACCAAATATCTCCCAATAATGTTACATGGCTGAGGTGAGCATCTCTGAAGGACTGTGAACAAAATTTAAGTTTCTTCTTTGTAATTTTTTTCATGATTAGGTATCACAAAAGGAACACACACAATGACACCATTTTTGGCACAGAGAAGTGCTAGTGGCTAAGGCCAGTAAGGCCAAAGAGTTGCATGTACAAGAAGCAACTAACTGCAGGCCACTGCCAGAGTGATTCTGGGTTTTTTTTTTTTTTGTTTTGTTTTTTAAAAAGATACAAACCAGGAGGATAAGGAACCAGCCTTTCCCAAGACTATTCTGAAGGGCAAATAACTTAAGGAGAAAACGTTACAATAAAAACAATAATCACAAACAAAACAAAACCCACATTACAGTTCTGAGAGAAGAGACAAGTTTGCTTGTCTTTTTTTTCTCACTGATATAATTCCTTCAAATCGTACAGAAGTCAAAGTACCTGGAAGTGTGATTTACACAGTAGTGGAAAAACAAGAATAAATAGATTCAATGATGCATTTCTTATGGGCCTGGACAAACCCAGTGCTTTGAACAGATGTAAACAAGTCTACCCAGAAGTCTTATTGGTGGTTCAAGAGCTTGTAAATCAAGGCACTTGTCCACACAGCCTGTATCTGCTCAGTCCCCTCCATATTAATCACCTCCGGGTTTCCCCAGAGCCTGTGCTCTTTTGCCCTAAGGAGGCAATACTCACAGTTAATGTCCTTTGGAACTGAGAAAACACGAGAAATCTAACGCCTCATTAAATTATTTCTTGTATTTTAAAGTGAACCATTAGAGGGGAAGGGAAAAAACAGGGGGACTTGAAACTCTAGTTTTATCAGGGGCCTTTTTTCAGGTAATTTGAAGTTAAAATGCAAATTTAGCAGATATTGCTCATATCTTTTAAATCCCAGTGGCTCTGCCAAAGTTAACTTCTTAGGAAGTGACAAGTCCATCATCGTAGTAGGTGGGACTTATCTAAAGTTGTCTGTTCATAGCCATGGTGTCTCTGGAGGGAAGATAGTACTCCAGGACCACACACAGCCTCTGGTGCCGAAACATGAGCAAGTCAGAAACAGGGCCAACAGAATAAATAGAAAGACCTTCGTCACTGTAGGACCCAGTGTCTGTATAAGCCATTTCTGACAGAAGCGGTATTTCCTCTTCAGGTTCTCACTTACTGAAGGTTGTGTTAGAAGGCTGTGTTTTTAAGGATGGTAGGGCTTTCTTCTTCATCCTTTAACACCCTTGTGTGGCTTGGACTTTGCCTATGTTTTATCCTATAAAAACAAGCAAAACACATGTTTGTTACAAATCTTAAGAAAAATTTAAAAAATAAAACTGAGGGTATTTTGACCAAGGAGAAAAAAGTCATATAGCTGATCCTGAAAGGTCAGAGCTCCTGTTGCTATGGAGATGTAGACACAGGATCAGACCAGAGAAGACAGGCTGTAAGCACCTTGCCATTCATAACCCTGTGATAGATGAAGCAGTCCACAGCATTTGTGAGAAATAATCTGTGGGGGACTCTACTGTGAGGGGCTCCTAAGACCTGGCTAGGCCCAGACCCGGCATTCAAAACTGTGAGCAATGGGGCCTTCTTACCCTTTGACCCTTAGCATCTGGTCAATGGTGTCTGGGAGGGGAGTTTTGAAGCTCTCTGGGAGGAACAAGGTAAGGATGGCTGTCAGGATGGTCAGACTTCCCATGAGAATGTAGGGCAGGAAACGGTCATAGGCACCTATGGCAAAGCAGACAGAGCCCCAAGCTGGAGGCTGCAGTTAGACTGGGCTTCCCTCCATCCCTTTATGTTCCTGGGACTCTATAAAGGAGATCACCTCCCTTTCTTGGCCTCAGCATCTGCCACAGCTGAGCTGCCAGATTAGAATCCGAAACCAAGACAGGCCTTACAACCCAGAGTTAGCACAGACATGCCCAGAGGTCCAACAGTGCCTCCACAATACACGGGAGGAGCGCTGAGGGGAAGAGAGGCCCTGAACCATGGCGATCACTATTTCCATTTCTAAGGAACTTGAGGTACTCGTCCATTGACAGGAATAACTCCTCCTCCTCTCCAGGTGTGTTACAACCTGTTTGGTTTGCCTTTAGGCTGTTCAGAAAAATGTTTCTGCTTGTCAGATCTAGGTAGCATGTTAAGTTCACAAAGCATACTGGGTACTCTCAGAGTAGGTGTCACCTCTCCCAAAGATACACAGGGGAATAAGAGCTGCCATGAGGAAATAATCTTCAGAAGGAGAAAACTGATGCTCTGTTACATAAAATGGCACAAGGAAGCTCTTTATACAGTATAAGCCCAATGTGTGAAGTGCTCTGAGTTACAGCAATTTTCAATTCTCTGGACCTCTTGAATGGACCTTTTTTCACCTTGTGTACCTTTTAAGCTCTTATTCGAAGAATAAATTTCTCCAACTAAGTATACTAGTTTCCTAAACCACTCTGTAGTTTCTTAGGATAAGTATTCCCTGATGGAAGGCCTGGGATGGCTGAAACAAAGACAAATACCTCTAATTTTCTCATCAATTTCTAACTAGTCTATAGGCTATTTTCCATTCATAAGTACCTCCTCCACAACACCTGGACTAGAATGTCTCTCCAGTGTAGATCCAGTTTTAGATGAGTTCCATTTGTTTTGTGTTCTTGTTTTCCTGTTAAAGTCAAACAGTGCTTCCACTCATCGCTCCTATGTGCTCAAGCCAAAAACTTACGCCCACAGGACTTACCCAGGTAAACAAAATAGGGTGACAGGATGCTGCCCAAGCGGGATGCCATAGAGCTGACTCCCACGCCCATATTTCTGACCACTGTGGGGTACAGCTCAGCAGTGTACACATAGACAATGGAGAAGGCAGTAGTGATTCCAAACTTGCCCACCATAACTAGGACTGTAGTCAAATAGTATAAATCTGGAGAGGCAAAGGGAAGGAAGCAGGAGTAGGCATTAACCAATGTACTCTGCTGAAACAAACATACTTCCTCCCTTTCTGAAGGAAGGAAGTTTCTTTAATTTCCTATTGTGGGGTAAGGGGCTATATCCAAGATTTCCCTCCAAGCTGGTCACTGAAAGGAGGCTAGGGACCTGAAGTGATGTAAGAACATGCTATTTTCCTCAGCCTAAGGACCACCAGTGTGAGCCCCTCAAAAGCCCACAAAAGCCTGTTTTCTAGTTCAGAGTCTTAAAGACAGGTCTGTCAGAGAGTTAGCCATTACCCCATAACCTCATGCTGCAAGCACTGTACAATTATTTAATGACTTTTAGGTGAACGGGGAGTTCAGTTATAACTCTTTTCATGCTTTCATTCTACTCAGACCTCAAACACTGAGTAGATCATCAGAACCTCAGGACAATCCTCCAATCCATCCTTCTCATTGTGCCAACGAGGAGATGGGTCTGTGTGAGCTCAGGGATGAATTTCTATGTACATTCCTGGGCTCCTTTGGCCATGCCACACTGGGGGCTGTTCCTGTGCAGCAGTGTTCCCAGCCTAAGGGGCTCAAAAATGATCATCAAAGGTCCCCAAACCCATAAGTACAATGAGAACTCAGGGTGCAATGACAGACATATAAGGGTCCATGAACGATTCTATGAATTTCCCTTCCACCCATCTGTGGGGAACCCAAGCAGTTATAAAACCCAGCTAATGGCCTGTGAGAGCCCCCCTATTTGTGACCTGGGCCCAACCTCTCTGTCTTCATCTCTTACTGGTTCCTTCTTTTTCCTCAAACATGCCAGGCTCATTCCTTTCTCAGGGTCTTTGCCTTTGCTGTTTCTTCTGCCTGAAATGTTCTCCTAGACTTTTTCATGGCTTTATTCCTCTCAACTGCCCCTTATTCAGGGATGTTCTCCATGTTTACTCTGCAAACTACAATAAGCATGTATATTTGTTTACTTGCTTGTTGTATATTTTATCAACTAGAATGTGACTCCATGAGAGCATGGGTCTTGCCTGACTTGTTTATTTCTGTATCATTAGCACCAAGCACAGTGCCTGGTCCATAGCAGGCATTTTATAATGATTTGTTGAATAATCATTCATGACAAATGGCTAACCATTCATGTACATGACTAATACAGGACTAGGGTAGAGGAAACCAAATATGAACATGGTAACATGGAGACAGAGTGAAATTAACCAACAGCCTCAAATGGTTCCTCCCTCCCACACTCCACAAAGCCTAGGCAATAAAGAGTGTGCTAATCTCAGGAGGTAATCTCTCTAGATTTTTAGGACAAGAACGCATGTATGCAGGTAAGCTGTGGTAAGCATGTCTTTTATTTTCTAATCGAGGAAGAGAGCCTGGTAGAAACTGAAAACCCAAGACCACAGATACACACAGTCCCTACCTGGGGGCAATAGTTGCATGAAGAGAAGCACACTGCCACCCAGGAAAAGGACGGCGGCTATGGAATAGCGCCGGGGCAGGTGCTGCAGCAGCACCCAGGCCATAATGTATGCTGGGACTTCAACCACCGCTGAAAGGAAGCAGTTCATGTAGACGTCTCCATGCAAGTTAGGAGTATCAAGGGAAAGCCCGAAATAGCCCACTGATATGGTCATCCTGAAACAGAGTACAGAAGAAAACTGGGGAAGCAGTATCCCCGCCCCGCCCAACCTGAACAACTTTTTAAATATTATTATTTAAGGAAATTCAAAACTTCACTTTAAACAGGGAACAGGAGGGCAGCAGTAGGTAGAACCATGCCATCTTACTTCTTTAAACAAAAGAGAACATCCCTAGGCCCAAGTGGTACCAGTGTGCCAGTGTTCCGTATAGCAAGTACGCCAGCAAAAAAGGTTTATATACTCCAGATAGAATTAATTCATTAAAAAAAAAAATTCTAACCTGCTTTTTGGCTCTCAAATTTCGAAGCTGGGGCACTTACAGAAGTCTGCTTCCTACTCTCTGAACCTCCCCAAATTCAGCAATTGAAGAAGGAACTAGGGAAGGGTTAGGAGAGTTAGCAAGTGGGGTGCGATAAGATTGGAGAGATGAGATAAAATAAAGGACAAACATTAAGTCAAATATTTAGAGAAAGATACCTAGTAGACCATATATGGTGATCAACCAAGAAGAGGCTGGTCCAAGGCAGCTGACCCCACCCCATCCATCACACTCCTGGAGGAGAGAGGGAGATCTCAGTGGTGAGGCCACGTCTTCTCTCATCTGCATGCATGCCCTCCCAACCGTTCTCCCTTGACCTTGTCCTCAGCAGCAGACCAATGACAGTCTTTGGCAAACCAAATCTTTATGGATTAGACTAAGTGCTTTTAACTCATCTGCAGGTTGAAACCGTAGCTGGTGCAATCAGAAGGAAAGGAAATGTGCACAGAAAATCCAGAGAAATCCAGTGCCTGAGTGAGCTACAAACTGGTGACTAATTGTAGGCTCGCAAATCTGTGGTGTAGGCTGAATGCCTTGAGGCCCACTGGAAGGTGAGAGTCCTGAGGGATCCTGGGATGTTCCTTGGAAATGGGTGATTCACAGTTCCCCTAGTATGTGCAGAACTGCTGGCTGCCACCAGGCTGGCTGAATAGTAGTTAAGAACTCTGAGATGAAGTCTGTTCTCCTCATTCATCTTATCACTGCTCATCTAGCAGCCTACAGGTTAACTCCTGTAATCCCAAGGGTCTGGCCACTAAACAAAAGCTGTCCAGGCACTTGGATATGTTCCCTCTCTCTGGCCCTTCCTGACACTTGGTGAAATGCCTTGTTAGAAGAACCTGATAAGGGCAGCTAGCCACACACCTGCCTCCAGGACAGTCTTTGAATATCCCAGAGAACAGAAACTCAATCCTGCTTCCATGTTTCCAGAAAGGACTTAGCAGCCTCTGTAACCTGGAGGAAATGGTGTCTTCATACTCTGCTCCTTTTCAAAAGCCTCATCTGTGTTTTAGGCAATGTTGACAACTGGGTAAGAGGGGCTATGGGATAGGAATAACTAAGGACCCAAAATGAGCAAAATGAGTGATCCCCAAAGATCCTGTATTTCCCAGAAAAGCCTCCACAATAGTTTTCATTCTCATTTTCTGAGGTTCCATCAAATTAAGAATTGTAGCATGCCCATTTCTTCCATTGCAAGGCATACCTCTTTCATTTTCTCATGACAAAGATTTTCAATTTTGGTCCGAGACATGTCTGTGAACAAGAAGTTTTGTCTGGAAGCCTCAGACAGGTCTCACTTACGCACCACAGAATTATGGACATGATGGTGACCATTCGGATATTCCGAGTTCGTAGCAGATCCAGAATGCTGTGTGACTGCTGCTTCTGGGAACTTAGGTCTTGTAGCTGCAGGAAAGACACAGCAAGTAGATGGAAGGGCAAGAGAGTTGGAGACTCAGAACATCCAATAACATACCCGAAACCCTGGCAACTCAGCTTTTTGTGTCTCAGAGTTGGGGCGTCTTTTACTTTTCTTCCTTAAAGAGAAGAACAGTAATAGTGACCACATCTTGGGCTGCTAAAGGTTTCCCTAGGTCTTGTTGATAACAAAGTAGAATGAACAAGAATGAGGAGGAAAAGCAGGTGTCCTGTCCCTGGGGAACGCAGTGAAGATGGAGTCCAAGCTGACAACTCCCTTGTCCACCAACCCCCTCATCGGTGACCACATTTCAGGGAGGCCTTGAAGCACTCTGTCCCGGGGCTAGTCCCTGCCCTCTGGTCAGAAACAGAAGTTTGCTGTGTATTTTATTGATCTGATATTTAAAAATAATTAATTTTAAGCCTTCATCTCATGTGGTTACTTGCCTATTTCAGGGAAAAAATGTTAGATAGGAAAACAGGAAAACTGACCTGAGCTTCACTCAGAGTAGCTTCCTATGAAATTCGGTACAGCCAAGGCCAATTAATAAACTACACGTCTAAACACACTGATGTTGCTTTCTTAAGCAAACCCAGCCTTGGAGCTTGTTTTTCCTGGGTTATCAGTTCAACAAAAGGTCAACTTCTGACTTAAAGGATCCCCTGAAATAGCCTCATTTCCGCAAAGATGTCAGTAGGGCTACGGGTTCACCCAGATTGACCCCTCACTTAAAAGCAGCCAAATACTTGTTTGCCCTACCCTTGCTCTGACCTTTGTGCATCAGAGCCCTTTCCAGTACATGCTAAGTGGGAGCTATTGCTGAGCCATCACTTAATTGTGATGCCCACTAGACTGTCTGTAACCATCAGTCTCTTTGCTGCCTGTAATAATGGTCTCTCTTTTCCAAGCTCCAGGCTACATCTTGAATCCTGAACATTTCTGACATGCCTGCTGCTCGCACTTCAGCATGACTGCTGGTGGCTGTTCCCACACCCATTCCCTGGGACTAATTCTGCTTTCTGGTCTTCCCAGTCAGCTCAGAGACATTCCAGAACCAGGCCAACCAACATTTTTAGCTTCTAACCACTTCTTGTAGTCATGAGACTGAGGAACACTGCCTGCTGCAGAAAGGGTAGAGAGAGAGGGAACAGGAAGAACAACAAGAACCAGGAACCAGGAAAAGCCAAGAAATTACTCATGGTGTGTGAGAGCAGGGTTTGCAGGAGGGGTGGGGTTGGTGGGAGGGGAAGAAGCAGATAGCAAAAAGGACCTGGTTCCACAATGCTATGAAATAGACCATTGGTGGGTAGAAAGAGACTGAACCTTTCTAGCTCCAAATCTATTGTACTGTACTGGATTATTATTTTAAGAAGACAAACTACCTAAGAGATAAGAAACAACTATTTTTAAAATGCTAACTTTATGAAAGACTTACTTTTACTCATAAAGGGTGTTTATTATTAAAAGTAATGGCTAATATATATGATTGCCTAGAAGGGAAGGAGGGAAAGTATGAAATCCTAAAACCCATGAGAAAGATGAAAAGGGTTAGGCAGTTGGTACCTTCTTCTCAACTTCTGAATTCTATCAAGACCTGTCTTGGGGACAGCTGGGACTTGGGCACAGCAAGGGCTTGGTGCCTGTGTGAAAGGAGGAGTTTGGGGCAGTGTGGATGCTCTCAAACCACGGGCAGTGTGGCCCTCCTACCAGCTTCTATGTGGTGCTTACCTCAGTTGGGTCAAAGATGGTTGTGGTTACAACAATCCCATTGATTTTAGCAGCCTTATAGATGATCTCCTCGGCCTCTTTAAATCGCCCCTGAGAGATGAGCCATCGGGGGGACTCAGGGATGAACCTGGAAGCACAGAGAGAAATCTCACTGAGGCCTCTTTGCCCAACAGCTTATCAACAGACTAAATACAGCTTAAATGGAAGTGGGAAATGAGGTTTTCAGAACAAGAACTAGATTTGTGGAATGTTTGGTGCTTACAGGCCAGAAGTAAAGAGACGGTCCATATAACATGCAGTCATAACCTGAAGTGTGTGCACAAACTTTGAGGGGGCATGAACCCATGAATGCCTACACTGGCCAGGTACCTCTATTTCCTAAGAGTGGTGGTGCCACCTGCTGCACTATAAGGACACAAGAGCAAGATGAGTTCCTGAGGTCTGCCTTCTGTTGATGTCTCAGCCCAGCCCAGCCCCTTGCCGTATTCCCCTCATGAAACCCCACAACCACAGAAGCTTCTGCACTAATCTCTGAGCCTCTAGTTTCTCCTCACCTTCTCACCCCTAATCCATCCAAAACCCATGAGAAAGGTGAAAAGGGTTAGGCAGACTCCTTGCCTAAAATAACATGTTTATCAAGGCATCTGAGTGTGTTGAGCCTCTATGAGTTATTTTCTACCTCACTGTGACAGGATAGGGTGCTCTGGTGGCGCAGTGCCTAAGGCATTTGACTGCTAACCAGAAGGCTAGGGGTTCAAACCCACCAGCCACTCCTCGGAAGGAAGACTGGGCGATCTACTTCCACAGAGATATTGCCTCAGAAACCCATCGATTCGACGGCAGTGAATTTTTGGTGACAGGATAAGCTCTGTCCTGTCATGACCAGGATCCTTACTGTGCTCTGTCTCCTTTCCCAGCATGCCCTGAGAGGCTCTCAACTCCATGTAGGCTCGAGAGCTCAGCTTCCCCACCTGCAAAGGGCAATTCCTACCTCAGCCCCTCTGCTGTGTTCCCTCTCTTACTATGAAATGGCATCCTCTCTGCCTGTCCAACTCCTTTATCTTAGAGGCTCAGATGGAGTCTGGGTTCCTTCATGCAGCCACCCTGAGGGTTCTCACCTTCTCCTTCTTCTCCCAGTATCTGTGGCATGATGCCTTAACAAACAGAACTAGGGCCTAAATTCTCTTGCCCTGGAGTCTGATACCTTCCTGTAGGTCATGCTGGTTCCCATCATTTCTTGGCTACATCTTCTCCCTCTCTTTGCTCTCTGATCAACCCAGGGCTGAGAAAAAGTCTGCTGATGCCTTGTGATTTTTTTCTGAATATGGAGAAAACATTCTGAAACAACTTAGAAATAATCTATTCTTCCTGTCCCTGAGAGCTCCAACAGGGTTTGTGGGTTGCTGGTGCCCTCTAGTGAAGGCCAGCTAGAACAACCCTAGGCACAGGCCACACTCACCACCAGAGCAAGGCACAAAGTACCCCCGGCACTGTCAGTGCCAGCAGCAGCATCCTCCAGTCTCTGACGAAGTAAGCGAACAGTGGAAGCAACATGTAGCCAAATGAATAAAATATGCACACTCCTAATGTGGAGAATATAATACGAGCCGATTTGCCAAGAATTTCTGTTCCTGTCAAAACAAAGGAGGAGTCATGTTAGCTTTTTAATCTGGTTTATTTCCTTATTAATCTTCTGTGGTATCATTTTCAGCACATGGACAAGAAAGCAGCCAAAACTATGTCTAAGTTCTCAAGCCCTGAGAAGGAAACGGGATTTTGAACCCAGTTCAATATAACCATCTCCTGGGGGTGCCTCACTGTGACCTCTTGGGCCCCTCAGGGAAAGAGTGATGAAAATTTCACTGCTTTCCTCCTCCACATGCTAAAGATGCTACATTAGGCCCCCAAGTTTAATCTACACACGAGGAAGAATTCATTGAAGGTGAAGTCAGCACTGAGGCTGCACAAGTTGACTGTTACCCTTGAAGAAAGAAATATTCTATTAAAAGTGAAGAGAAAAATAATCCTTTCAACAATACAACTCATGGAACCCAAAAACCAGTATGCTAGAGTCAGAATCCTCCAAACAGTGGGACTGGCAACTTTTCATCAAGAACAGGCTGGCATGTCCGAGCCAAAGCCCTGCAGCGTGTACTCTGAATTAAAACCCTGAAAGTGACTAAAATCTATTCCTACCAATTTATTTTTTTATTGTGATTTGAGTGAAAGTCTACAGAACAAATTCATTTTCCATTCAACAATTCATATATATTTTGTATTGTGACATTATTGCAACTCTCCACAATGTAATAGCAGTCTTCCCACTTCCTACCTATGGTTACCACTTCCAATCTTCCTTCTTTCCTATTGCTTTTCTTCAGAGCTTTGTCCCTGGATAAATGCTGCCCTTTTGATCCCTATGGTTGTTCTAAAGAATACATACCTTCCCAGTGTTACCATTCATCTTATAGGCCTCTATCTCCCAAGTGATTTTTGTCAGCAGATTCTTATTGACTACAGTGTTTTGCAGAGGAGGCAGCTTTCTTCCCTGGTGACACTGCCATCATGGACAGTCATGTTTCCCTCTTTCCTCTTTCTTGGGCAGTGGCAGGCCCTTTTTATGAATGATCTTTGGTGAGTCTTAGTAAAATAGCCATTAAGTGTCAACAAGACCAAGGGGCCATACTGTAGAGACCAGAGAAGAACTAGAATCAGAAGTAAGACTAAATGCTGGGGACCCATAGCTGATTACTGGACTGACTCAGTTTCCTTGACTATAAGTTAGGTTTACCAAGAAGTTCTGTTGCTAGAGACTAGTTTCTTTTAAGGGACATTATGGCTGTCTCCAAGAAAGTAGGTGGTGGGATGATGGTGAAACACAGGATCAATTACTCAACTCTAACTGATGGCCATACCCAGGACAAAAGCTGCCACATAGTTGGAGATCTGGCCCATGCCTACGATGACAAACAGCACGGTAAACATCTCAAAGTTTGTTGAGAAGACTTGCAGGAAGCTGAAGCCTGTCTGCATGCCCATGGTCACAAATAGCACATTCTTCCGACCACACCTGGAAGGAAAGGAGAGTGAAAGAGAATTAGCTGGGAAGGGGGGCTTTCCCCAGATCTATCAGGGAGGGGTCGTGGATAGTGCTGCCCGGTTATCGAATACCAGGTATAGCCCAATCTCTCAGTCTCTGTGCCATTACTTCCTCTCCCTGCTCCCCAGAATGAATATGCAACCTGGACACTAAGGTTGTCCAAAAGGCAGTGCCACAATTATGATAATAGTTGTAATGGATTAAAACACATTAGTATTAGTATACTTAAATCCATGTGTACATAATGTTTCTTTTTTTTTAAGAACAGGTCATTTTTGCAGCATAATGGAAAAACAATTATCCTGAAAACTAAAAATTAAAGGGAAAGAAGCATTTGTCCTGGCTCTCTTAGGTCAACTATGTGAGCAGTAACTAGTAGTAGGTGAGGGGAAGTATCACTTTATAAAAGTATTTTAACTATTAATGGAAAGAAGTGGCAGAATTATAATACCACCTTTTTACAACCCCCAATGGCTGAACAGGTATTACACATCAATGACTAACATAAAAAGAAACAACCAGATACTGCATGTCTCTTATACTCTTGCCAAAGGGGTTGAACCTGCACCTGATCCAGCATCTGGATTCAGTTGCCAATTTACAAGAAATAATAGAGATAAAGGAATATGCTAAATTGCACCATGAGGGTGCAATCAGCAAAATTTAGATTGGGACATTCTATAGGTGAAATGGCCTAGGGTTCTTCAGCAGATAAACTGTAAGGCAAATAAAGTGATGGAGGAGAATCCATAAATAAAAATTGATTAAAAGGCATGTCAAATTTTTCAAGTCGGTAAGAATAAACTTGTGCCTAAGGATGGACATCTGGGTGATAAAACTACCAAAAAAACCAAAAAACTGCAAGTGATTATTATAAGAGTCAGGATAGTAGTTACTTAATAAGGGAGGGCGGGTCTTATAATTAGGATGGGGCACATGAACATGGCTTCTTGGTGGCAAGGAAAGTTCTATCACTTCTTGATTTGGTGGGGTTACAAGTTTATTTGCTTTGGAATAATTCATTAATTACTTAATGAATTACATTACATTAATTACTTTTTGGTAGGAGATGAGGGAGAGGAGGGGTTGAAGAGATTCCTGAGTCTCTGGCTTACATGGTTAGAAGATTAGAGCCTGTGATCCTGCCCTAGCATTGCAGGCCTAATCTTCATTCTCCGTCTCACACAGGGCCCTTGCAGTCTTCACCATGGAGGGGTTGCTCCATTCTCCCCAAGCCCTTGAGAACAGTGAAACGGTCTCACTGGCTACAGGCAGCCAGCACAGCCCAGCCACAGTGCCAAGCTTCAGAAGGACCCTCACAGATGGGAAGATGGAGCCAGCTCTCACAGCCAAGTCTCCAGGGGCCTCATTGACTGTGCCCAAGAAAGTGACAGTGGGAAGCAAGTTAGAATATCTACTGCTTGCCAGATAATATGCGTTAAGTCTGGGACCATGTTCATGTCAGGAATACACCAGGCAACTCAGAAGATCTCCTAAATTCAGAACTGTAGGGAGATGAAAGTGATGGGTAAGAGCCACTGTGTGGGTTGGTTCTGTCTGTGCGCCAGAGTTTACAAGTGAGGCCAGGGATGGAGAGGTGAGCTGTGCTAAGGAACCTAATACCTGTGGGGCTAGTATCTGGAAAGGGCTCATAGAAGCCCTGTCAGGAGCCTAGGCCCTCTCCAGCATCTTAGCCTCCTTCGGGGCAACTCTGAGGCAGGCTGACAGCGTGCTACACTGCCTACTTAGAGGCCATCTGAGAATTAGAGCATATCCCATGAACCACTCCCTGTCCTCAGCATACTTCTTACAAGATTCATAGCAAAGATCAACACCAGTGGGCCCCTGTCTGGCCAAGTCTCCCAAAATTCTATGCCTGTGTATGAGTCCAGTGCTGAGAAGGAACACACTGGGACAGATTTTACTTTTTCTAGTATCCTTAGCTTTTGAGTATAGTACCTCAGGAGAAAAAAAATCCAACTCATACTTGACTGTGCTGCCCCATTTACTACCCTTTCACAAACAAGAGTGTAGCTGTGGTCTCAATTTCCTGGTCTTAGCCTTTTCTCAGGACTGGAAAGGGCTGGAATCATACACAGAAGTGGCTTTCAAACTGAGCTCTGGAGTCCAGAGGTTCCTCAAGGGGAAAGTGAGTAGGGGCTCTGGGCCTTTTCCCATATCAACCAGAGGTGCTCCACAATTTACCTATTATATACATTGTGCTTCCCAAGGTTACCATTTAAAAAAAAGTGTATAAGCCTTCAGTCTGATCCAAATTACCATCTCCATTTTTCAGGTGGGAAATGGGCCTTCTTCTTGGCTTGGGAAAACAGAGCCTGAGGTGCTCAGAGAAGCTCTCCAAAGATAATATTCTCCCATCTGGTCTAGAGTAGTGGTACTTAAACTGGTGGTTGTTGTTGTTAGGTGTTGATTAGTCAGGTCTGAGTCACAGTGACCCTATGTATATCTGATAGAAACACTACCCAGTCCTGTGCCATCCTCACAATCATTGCTGTTTGAGCCCATTTTGTAGCCACTATGTCCATCCATCTTATTGAGGATCTTCCTTTTCAGCTGACCCTCTACTTTACAGAATTGACTCGATGGCAGTGAGTTTGGTTTTTTTTGGTCTACTTTAGAGAGCATGATGTCCTTCTCTAGGGACTGGTCCCCGATAACATGCCTGACAACACGTCCAAAGTATGTGAGATGAAGTCTTGCTATCCTTGCTTCTAAGGAGCATTCTGGCTGTACTTCTTCCAAAAGAGATTTAGTCAGTCTTCTGGCAGTCTACAGTATATTAAATATCCTTCATCAATACCGTAATTCAAAGGCATCAATTCTTCTTCTGTCTTCCTTATTCATTGCCCAGCTTTCACATGCATATGAGGCAACTGAAAATGCCATGACTTGAGTCAGGTGCATCTTAGTACTCAAAGTGACATCTTTGCTTTTTAACACTTTAAAGAAGTCTTTTGCAGCAGATTTACAAAATGCAAAACTGTGGTAGTTAAGGTTGTGTGTCAACTTGCCTGGGCCGTGACTTTGAGTGGTTTGGCAGCTGGATGTAGTTATTACCCATGATGAGATGGGATGTGGTGTAATAAGCTCCATGGCGGAATGTGCTGTGAGCAGTTAATCAGTTGCCATCAGGGTATGGCCTGCTTCCAGTATATGTGGAGAAACTTTGAGAAAGGTCTCTAGATTTTTGGCACACTTTTAGATTATGCCTTTGGTCAAATCTTTATCTCCAGTTTCTGGACTTGAACCAGTGGCCTGCCACGCTGCTTGCATATCTTGGGGATTGTGCCATTTTACTTGCAGATCTTGGATTTGTCATTCTCAACAGCCAGCAGCTATGAGTCAGAAGAAGCCTCCAGCTCCAGTGGGCCTGGAACAAGAGGCAGAGCTGAAGCCCAAGGTCAAGGGAACTTCACCTAGCCCCTATAGCCAGCACTCTGAATTTGGACTTCTCTGGTAGTGTAGTGCCTAAGGCACTTGACTGCTAACCAAAAGGTTGGCGGTTCAAACCCACCAGCCACTCCTCGGAAGGAAGGTTGGGCAATCTACTTCTGTAGTGATACCACCTCGGAAACCCAAGGAGGGGTCGCTATGAGTTGGGTCTGACTCAATGGCACATAACAACAACAAAAACAGCCCCCTAAATTGTAAACGAATAAATGCCTATTTGTTAAAGTCATCCATTTGTGGTATTTCTGTTATATCAGCACTAGATGGCTAAGACAGATAATATAATTTGATTTCTTGATACTGTTTTCATGAGTGCTGATTGTGGTTCCAAGTAAAAGGAAATCCCTGGCAATTTCAATCTTTTCTCCATTTATCGTGATGTTGCTTTTTGGTCCATTTGTGAGGATTTTTGTTTTCTTTATGTTCAGATGTAATCCATACTGAAAGTTGCAGTCTTTGATTTTCATCAGTAAGTGCTTCAAGTATTCTTCATTTTCAGTAAGCAAGGTTGTGTCATCTGTATATTGCAGGATGTTAATGAATCTTCCTCCAACACTGATGCTGCATTCTTTTTCATGTAGTCCAATTTCTTGGAGTAGTTGCTCAGCATAAAAATTGAGCATATGGTGAAAGGATACCACCTTGACACACACCTTTCCTGATTTTAAACCATGTAGTATCCCCTTTTCCTGTTTTAGCAACTCCCTCTTGGTCTATGTACAGGTTCCACATGAACACAATTAAGTGCTCTGCAATTTTCAATCTTCTCATATTATCCATTGTTTGTTATGATCTACAGTTGAATGTCTTTGCAAAGTCAATAAAATTAGTGCCTAAGGCATTTGACTGCTAACCAGAAGGCTGGCAGTTCAAACCCATCAGCCACTCCTTGGAAGGAAGACTGGGCAATCTACTTCCGTAGAGATACCACCTTGGAAATCCAAGGAGGGGTTTATGAGTCAGAACGGACTCAATGGCAGAATTTGTGTTTTTTGGAAACACCTTTCTGGTATCCTCCGCTTTTAGCCAAGATCCATCTGACATCAGCAATGATATCACTCATTCCACGTACTCTTCTGAATCCAGCTTGAATTTCTGGCAGTTCCCTGTTGATATACTGTGATATTAATGATACTGCTCAATAGTTTCCATGTTCTGTTAGATTACCTTTCTTCAGAATGGGCAGAAATACGGATCTCTTACAGTTAGTTGGTAGGTAGCTGTCTTCCAAACTTCTTGGCATAGATGAATGAGTGCTTCCAGCATTGTATTCATTTGTTGAAACATCTCAATTGGTATTCTATCAATTCCTGGAGACTTTTTTTTTTTTGCCAATTACTGCAGTGCAGCTTGGACTTCTTCCTTCAGTACCATCAGTTGTTGATCATACGCTATCTCCTGAAATGGCTGAAGATAGACTATTTCTTTTTGATAGAGTGACTCTGTATTCCTTCCATCTTCTTTTGATGGTCCCTGCATTGTTCAATATTTTGCCCAGT